CCACGGTTGCTTCCATACCGAATTGCTATGAGGTCAATAATCAATTACTCCTCACCTTTAACAGCTTTCAACTAGTACTGGATGTGACAGGACGAGGACGAGAGCACTATGTATTGTATTATTGTTCAATAAGTCAAATACGCAGCAAAACTAACCAATGATTCTCAGTGGGCATATGACATTCCGAGAATGATCATCTCCCAGCTTTGATCCCTTCGTTTTCCAACAGTAATCCATGCGTGTTCTCCCAGTGACTGTCGGAGAAAGTGGCAGGAATTGCAGGAACTTTACACAAACAGAATTAATCACTGAACCTCGTCAAAATGTGACTGAGATTGGGCCATATTCAGATATTTTCAAGTAACTATGGGATGTTGGCGACGTGCTTCGTTTTCGGAAGCTAGAACTTATTCAAAGGCTAAGAATAGCTGTATCTGGTTTGATGGTAGCATTGCGTGCTGCCGGAAGGGAGTGCGTCGCCGTCCGGTGCGATTTTTTGCCTCAAGCTATTTAAAGGAGAAGAAATCCTTCTCTGATGCACGGAAATGACGAGTTGTGTCTACTTCGAGATTCTACAGGAAGGAATGGCAATTGAATGAACTTTCTTTGAACAAGCGTATCCAATTTGCATGATTCTCAGAATCGAGAATTCCACAAAATGTGAAAGCAATCTTTTTACACAGAATCGAAAGAAAACATTAAAATAGATACCCTTAATAAAATATAAATGCAAAGATAGTGGATCTAAAGGGGAGCCTCTGAAATGAATCAAAACTAAGCCCATATCAGCCCAGATAAGCCCATTGAGGGCTCGGGGAAAAGATGAGCGACCTCACACATCGCTCAGTAATCGAATCCTTAGTACTTCCTCCTCTAGGTCATCTAAGTCCTTCTGCCCTCGAAGATTCAATCAGACTCCCTTGATGAATAAAAATATTATTGCGTACACATGGCTCCATAAATTGGGCAGGGGGAAGGAGATAAAATGGAGTGAATTATAAAGGGGTGATTACAGTAGAGATGACATTGGACTGTGCATGCCTACACATCTATCATGAAATGCTTAACCTGTTCACTCACTTTGAACCCCTTGAACTTTTTATTCCCAGACGTGGGGAGGTCTACCTGACGTGGCAAAGTGTGATTGCTCGTCTGTCCTCCCATGCCTTTCTTTTGAATTTTTCCCTTTCTCCCGAGCCTCCGTACCCGAGTAAGGGTGTGGAAACTTTTGTACTATGACACCTTCTTTACGATGGCACTTTGTTAAGGTCACCTCACACCTAAGTGCGAAGCAACCCTAATTGTGTGAAAAGACTCCACGGTCATTAAGCTGCCTATATATAGTCATAAGCAGAGTTGAAGTCTATCAACTGATGAATTCAACTGAATTCTATCAACTGAATTAGAATAATGAAAGTAAGAAAGTGAAGCTTTTTTGGATAGTTAGAGTTAAGGGTTTTCAGAAGGAAAATTCTCACATCACCGGTTTCAATACTTTATTTTCGTGCGAAATTGTTAAATTCAATATATTTGTGATAAAAGTTATTGTAACATGAAAAAGTGGGATACCCTGTGATTTCGTACAAACAATAGATTTATCTTTCGAATATGTCTTTCAGAAGGTTAGCACTGGTATACAAAGCCCTTACCCACTTGGATAGGCAGTTCTCGATGACCTTTTTCCAGGGTGCAGAATCTACATAGTAGCCTGAAGTCTCGGTGCCCTAACTACTACTCCTTTCCATTTTTCTATAGTTCAACAACCTTATTTTCTATAAGTTTCCTTTTCCTAGAGTCGTTATCCTCATCAACTAGTACCTTTTAACTCTGTTACTAGTGATATGCAGGCACCATGAGACCATGGAGTCCTGGTGTACTTTAATTGGGTGCGATCGTACAAAAGTTCGCACACTTCCTGGAGCCATTCCGGTCCATTTTGTAGTGCCTGTGTAATGTGTGTGCGTTACAATTATATTGTGTACATTTCTGATTGTACAATTTCGGAGAGAAACGTAATGAATTACGTAGACACTTCAAACTTGACGGAAATGACTAGAGTAAGGGAACAGACAGAAACAGAGCAATGCAGTTGGACTTCCTGTATGGTGCAGCTCCGCTTATAATTATGAAATACTGATCAGCTGCGCTTGATCTTAAGGGCAAGTTCACGATAGAAATGATTTCTCGGGTTCTTCCCACTAGGATGAATGTGTGGCCTTCAGGTTACCAACATGAGGACTGGTGGGTCGAAAATGTTCCAGTTAGGGCGTTATAAGGGCACGAAGGGTGTATTTACGCTTTTACACCACAGACATCCCAATCACCCTGAAGAGAGTGTGCCATTCACAATTAGGCACACATGTAGAAAACTCAATAGCTGATCAAAGAAAACAACAATAGGAACATAACAAAAGGATAAGAACAACAAAACAAAATGGCAACATTAGCTCAGAATAATAAGGTCTCAAAATTCTGAATCCGTGCAATCCCAACTCATGACGACGGTGGAAGACAATCTTGGCTAATTTTTTTTGTGACCAGATTATGCGCAGTTCCACACAAATTCCATGCCACTTCCGTCATCATCGTCTTGTGCAACCTCTTACTCTTACTAACTTTTTTAAAAGCCTTATATCTCTGAAAATCCCCCGTTCCTCACGCTTTCCTCGTCTCCGATGCTCTATGCAGCATCATGCCTTCCATTTTTCGTTACCATGGTCTATGACGACGGTCCCCTTTTAATTTATCTTCACCTCACTGTCTGAGGCGGCTCTCTAACTTTAGTGTGGCCCTTCCATAATAACATTCCGCTGAAGGTTCAGCCTTGTTATTCTTGTTTTGTTGGATCTAATGACACAGCGGCCTTTCCATGACTAAGAACCTGATTAGACAACCAGAATTTGAGTGATTCTTGTAAGGTTGTCGAGTGATGACATCACCATTTGCTATGTCCATCCGTCCGCAAAACTCCCTATTATTATGGCAAAGGTAGCGATTTAGAAACCCCACCGCATACTGTGGTGGACTGTAACACTTGGGAGGAAGCTTGGGAAATGTTTGATGCTCAGCGGTAGCGCTTACACAGCATAGATTAAAAGCATTACCCGACCCAAACATTTCCGATCAATCGGAAGCGATTTGTGTAAATTTGTGATGTGATTAGTATGCAATCGTAGTCAGCTTTCTTCTACAGCTCAGATGATGTGAACCGCATTACCAGACCCTGTTTGGCCCCAAATTATCAGCGTTTAAGGCGAATCACTAACATTGATATGAATTTAAAAAGTAATTTCTCTATAGGGAACAGTGTTCATTGCCTCACAGTGGCTATTGAACGCTCGTCATAGTTCTAGTGCTTAGATCAATTCGAAATTACTCGAGCTTTTCACCAGCAGGTGAAACACGCCCTTGGGATGAATGAAGAGCTAAAACGAATTTCGCCCGACAAGCATTGGCTGTTCTGAAGGAACATTCAGCTAGTACAAGGCTGTGCATGGAAGCATTCTCCGTTGTGCTTCCCAAAATAATTGATAACCGGCCATTTGGTGGTTGTTGTTGGTTCTGTTGAACCACAAATGCTTTGTAAGTTTCGTCCTATCTAATCACGAGACCGAAACCTCTACTTAATCAGAATATCTAGAGATTCCGCTTCAAATGGGAGCACCCATATGTTCAATGTTCTATATGTTTGGTGATAGAGGATGTGAGACCGATTCATGGCTCAATAGTCAGAAATATTCCCAAGTCCTATTCAGAAGTTGGCGACCTCAGTGCCCACGTCAAAATTCGTTTCGTCGTTATCGGTTGAGCGAATGCGTTATCTATCCTGGGAAGAAATCAAAACGCCGTAAATAGTTCGGGAAAACGCGCAAAAAGCAAATTTTATGTGTTTGGCCAATGTCATGCGGCTAGTCTTCAGAGCAACCTTTTTGTATCTCTTCTGAGAAGAACTTCTTTGACGGAACTTGTATCGATGGTGATTCGAGAAAAAACTTCCAAGAACTCATGATTTGCTTGAGTGTTCATCGAGGTTATACAGTCTTCACACAATGGAAAAAAGGATTTTGCCGTCATATGTCGTGTATGCTGTATGGGCTACTACAAAGAGATTGGTGAACGTCACTACCACTTAGGAGGTCGATGAAAAAGGGCTCAAAAAAGAGCCTAATCGCTGTCGATTTGTAGCTGAAAAAAACACGTCCGTCTCATGACTTCAAGTTTTTTTCCTATCGAAGCAATAATATGTTCCTACGAATGCGTTCTAGCTGCTCATTGCAGTTCTTGTAGAAGTTAAGATATTGTAGGTACAGGGCCGCCTCAGTAGTGTAGAGTGTTCATGTTTCTAACCCCATCCGAACGACCCACCTCAATATTTTAAAGCGGTTATAATGCCTGAGGGAAGTAGTGTGAATTATTTCCTAGCTGGCCACTGCAGTTCTTTAGAGCATGGGCAAAAATAAGATCTAATAGATTCCCTAGTAAGAGTGGTGACTACCTGTACAATGCTATGGGCTCTCATGCTGGTTATGAACCTACGGCTCTCTTTCAGTGGCAAGTGGTAGCATGTTGAGCATTCCCCAAAATCGAGAAGCTCCTCGTATCTATTGGTACAGTACAAACCAGATCATTCCAACATTTCAGGTTTCTTCGAATAAATCAGCAACAAAACCATTGACCTAGACGCGCAACGGTGTGGAGGCGAAATCTACCTTGTTCTATACGGCTGGCATCATTTAATGCATAGATAATGCATAATAAATATGTCTGAGAATTCTAATACAGCACTTTGAACTAATTTGATTGGAAAAAAGTTCGTAGAACCAGTTTCCAGCATTGCATGGCATGCCATTCACAAATATTTATGTTCTCTGTTATACTTCGAAGGTGGCTTTCATATCGTTCGTGGGAGCTGGGCTGAGAGCCGGACTCCCATGTGCGATCCAAAAGACATCTTCGACTGTGTCATGTTTACGTTTCCTAAGTTCAGCACGTCGTTTCAGTTCTGCATGCAATCGAGGCTCGTCTATCCGAAGTGCTAAGAGCTGGAGAACGTCTTGGCATCTCGCCAGAAGAAGTGCTTCAAGACCTCCGTTACCGTAACCAATTCAAGAAGTAAATTCCGATTGCCGAATATGTTTCTCGCTTATTCTCCTTACAGTATTATTCTTTGTTGCCTTCCATTCAACTTTGGATTCATTCATTGATATGCACACAGTCAGATTAAAGCATTTATAAACAAAACAGTATCGTTTGTTTGAATGCTGCGCAAACGAATGGCTCCCTCTACAGGCTTGAAAAATTCTTTTGAAAATTTGTACAGTGTATTACGATGGTATAACACCGGCAAGTATTTAAAATAAAGCTGAGATACGGTTTGTGCAGTTTCAGTCTGAAGATGATGCCCACACTGACTTCCTGGAACTAATCGTGCAGATTCTTTTAGATTTGTGTTTTCGATTACAATCCTCCTTACACTTCTTACCCTGCTCTCCTGCTTCGACCATAGTCATAACTTAATTGCGGTGAACATGCGATGGTTCACCTTCACAAGGTTAGCAAGCCTGGAGCTCTATGGAGCCATTAATTTACTAGAATTCGACTTAGTTGTCCTTTGCTGAATAAAAAATTATACAGTAGTACTTGCCAGATGACATGACTGCGATTTTTTGTCATCACAATTGCCAAAAGTCTCTGCTCTATTGTTCCCGGTAAGGTAACCTTTTGCAGCGAGCAGGACTACTCGATAAAATGCTTTTTCCGAACCTTTCGTAGAGACATCTTTACTGTGTATGCTTCTTGACGAAGAGGCCAAGAGTGTTCTTTACTCATAAACAACAGTGCTTTCAAAAAAGTGTTATTCTCTTCTCTGCACTGAACTGAAGTATAAAGTAGGCAGTACTGGAAGTCGATTGAATAAGTACAGAAATTGTGATTGATTAATATCGTTGCTGACTGGATACGAGATGAAGTGAAGACCGCGAGTTGATTGATAGTCGGCTGCCATGACCAGAGCTCGCAGCTGATCTGAACACAACGTTTCATCGCATTCATTGGGCACTATAAAATAGAAAAGACTCTGAAATGCTGCATCATACTATCTAGATCCCTGCATAGGGCTCAGAGAGTGTATAGGACAGTTTTAAAGTCGATAAAGGCATGGTAGGTTCATCTAGAGGGTGCTGATGTTACCGGCTACCTTCTGCTCATGTATAGATATTAAACTTCAGAACTCTGAGTGGAGGCTGAGCTGATGGCAAACCCTAAGCAAACCTACAGTTCCGTTTTATGTAATAGTGAAGGATGAGGTCTTTAACATGAACAACCGCATTTGGGATGCGCCCCGCACTCTACTTCTATTCAGAATCGCAAAGACGTTTTGAATGCGTATATGACCTATACGAGCGAAGGTGGTGTAGTGGCAAGTGGCACACTATAACACACGCACGGTCAGGGGTTCAAATCTCGGATCGATGCCCGCCTATGTCAACCAAGCCTTCCATCCCTCCGGGGTCGGTCAATTGGTACCAGACNACTCATCTGGGAGGATAAAAGCACTGACTTGTACATCGGTTGGCCACCGCAAGTCATTGTATAGGCCACATACGCACTCATTACGCCACTACGATTGGAAGTCGAGTGCGGAGGCCCATCCCTCAGACGGGATTGATTAACGCCAAGAACTTTATCCTTTATATGACCTATACAATGACTTGTGGTGGTCAATCGACATATAGCGGTGTTTTTATCATCCCAGACGAGTCTAGTACCACATAACCGACTACCAGAGGTATGGAAGGCCTCATGGATAGCTTCTATGCAGGCTATAGTATAGCCATTAGAAGTTCTGCACCTCTGAGCAGAAATCGAGTGCGCGGCGCATTCGGGAAGACAGCGACAGAAACTGATAACGTTTAATTGACCAAGGCGAAAAAACAAAATTCAATCAGAAACCCTATTGCTATGTAGTGTCTAGATGTGATTTATGAAATATAAGAGGATTTGTTGATGAAATTCGAAAGTGAATTACTTCAATCGTTCTTCTCGTCTTTTGATTGCATTTTTCACGGGTGCCTCTTGCAATTTCACGATGCAGTCGGTGAGGCAGTCGTTGCAGAGAAACTCAGATGTCCAGAATGCACAGCCGATAAGCAAAAGAAGGAATCCTATCGCGGAGAGCGTGATACCCTGAAGCGAGTATTAGAGTGATTTATTGATGGCGAAAACACCTCGTTAAACCAATTATGTTGTTTACAAGTTTCTTTTGGACTAGCTAGAGCCCTGTCTAATAATAAGAAAGCATCTAGTTCTGCTTTAAGAACTGATTGTTTGAAATATAAAACGGTCACAGTGTTGCACTTCAGCTCTACGAGGACTTTCCAGACAAAGGTACCTTGAACTTTCAAATAAGAAAGGTAATCAACAAGAGGAGGTNAGATATTTTCCCCATGAAATCAGAAACAACAAAGAATACCAATTCGGGATTTGTGCATTTTGTAGTGCTGTGTTGCTTTATATTATACAATCTGTGTAATAATTTTGCGTTAAACTATAAAAAAGGCTGAAGGGCGGTAGAACGGAGTAGCGCACTACCATCTCGTTGCTCCGCCGTTTGGCACAACTCTCCATCATTTGGGTGACTTACAGTACTGTCGGTCACCGTTGACCAACATCGTGCCAGAGACAGACTGCTGTCGATCCATGTTGCCCAACAGGCAGTCTGGAGCGATGTTGGCTGATGGTGACCGACAGTACTGTAAGTCATCCAAATGATGGAAATTCACTTTTCTTTTTTGAATACTTTAAATTCTCCACCGATCCGGTGAATTTAGCCTACGATCCTTCGGAATGAACGGTATTATGCAATTCTTAGGCTCGAAGCAAGAGTCATACTGGATATTAATGCACTATTAGTCTTTTGAGTGTGTTTGTAGGAGCTGGGCTGCGTTATTACGAATGAGAGCATCAACTTTAACTCTCGAAGAAAATCTCCAATTTTACTTCTTCACAGTGAAGGAAGCAAGCATTAACCAAAGCGGGTCGGACGGTTAGATTACAAAATAGTCAGACGCACCGCTCGCTTCTTTTTCTCACATGAGTCAGCAATCGGCATCTGGTCACTAGGATTCACAAAACCTATATCCCTGTATAGTAAGCAACGACAACAGAATTCCTAACATGCTGGCAACTTCCATGCGCATGGAAATTTCCTCGATCCCTCCGGTTCTTCGAAATCAGCACCCCTCCGATTAGCGCCTTCGTTCTATTATAGTAACGTCCCCGCCAGGCGCTTGAATAGTATTTTTCATGGCTTGCCTGGAAATAAAAGCTTGATTTGATCGCGTACGTTTCTCGAGCCATTGTAAGGGTGCTACTGCTTGAGCCCAAAATACTAGAAAAAGTGACGGGTTTCCTCCCTGAGCCAGGTCCGCTGGTTGAGTCGCATGGCTGAACATCCAAGTAGTTGCTGCCATGTAATCCTTCCTGCTTCCGGAGAAATCATCCCCGATCTCATGACCTTACCACTCCTTTGGAACAATCTCCAGTCATATGGGGCTCCTAAAGTGACATGAACGCGCTCCACTTACGTCCCGCTCTAGGGACCTCTTTATATCCTCGTTCCGAAAGAGTCACATAACCTCAAGCGATCTTTGCCTACGATATGAAACACCCCTGTCTTGGGGAATTGTAGTCGTCGGTGAGTCGTGGATGCATTTCACTCAAGTATCCTGATGCACCGAAGACACCCACAGGCTCTCTTCGCCTCCAGAGATTGTTTATTGGCCTTTTATTTCTGCTTACCTTTTAATTATCGAGCCACGACTGTTTTGATAAGGCCTCTTGTAATGCTTTCTACAGGCACTCTTCTTCCCAATTGCAACCCACTGTCTTCATCATGCCAGTAGCAAACCGCCTCGTATCCCCAGAGCTCACATGTGACTCATCCTGTACTTGCCTTCTTTGCTGTAGGTTAACCACCACTGCGCTATCTAACATTATTATATGTCTTTTGAGCTGACCTCGCCCTTAGTGAGGTCTGTAGGTGCGTCCAACAAGAAAAGCCTGCGCTCCGATGCCGCTGGTTCGTCTGGCAGTATCCTGATATCAAAACAGTCTTTTAGAGACGGTCTTATTTCAAGCACATGGTCCATTTCGTTTGTGTTGGGTCCCAGCTATCGTCCTCCGTATCGATCCACTGAGTCCACCAATACCAACTATTCGACAATCGCCTATTTCTAGGCAGGATAGGCAATTCTGTGGCGAAAGATACGGGTGAGGAGCCGGAGCCAAGAAAAAGCTGAGACGAAGAAACAAACTAATAAAATTGCCTGTTCCGGCTTTAGATAGGAGGCATACGTTCAGTTACCGATAAGATCTGCATGAACAAAGTCTCCCGGTCGGTAGTTTTGGAGGGGTAACTCACAAAGGAGACATAGATATATCGATACAGTCGAGAATATTATTTACCATAAAAACTGCCATATGAGTTCCCTAAAATAGTTCCGAGCGCTGAAAATTTGCTTGGAGATAGTTTCAATCAAAGCAGATGTCTGCACAACAGCAGGCGCCCCCGTGTCACTTGTAGAAAGTGCCCTCACTTGTCTTGCAAAGATTGGGATTGCTTCCAGCCATCACCAAAGTTCTTGCGCAGTGTTTTTTTTCATTGATACCTTCTGTAAAAAATTTTCTGATGTTTCCTCAAGAGGGCGAATTATTTAGTCAAGTGTTTAGCCTGATGCTACTTACTTACGGCAGGACATTTTTGCATGTAATTTGTATGAGAGTTTGCATCAATGAGGACGATATGATTGTTTCATGATTAATGTATGTACCACTAGACGTCAATCAAGTGCCAGACGTGTCGAAATTTTGATGTACCCCCATGTACAATGTTCAGGCTAAAGATAGTGAAAGTGATTTTTCTTGTGTGTTCCATTTTTAAAACGAGGGAAGCTAGTGTAAATTATGCGCAAAAAGTTTGCCTTAAATAGGAGCCCGGGGCTTAAACGATAGTCTATAAGGCGCTTATTGGAGTAATTAT